GTCCCCAGGGCAGCAGGGTGCTGGGAACGGGCAGACAGCTGGAGTGGGAACATCCCGTCCCGGCGCCTGGCAGGCTAAAATAGCACCGGTGTCACCGGGCTTGGCAGTGCCAGCAGCCAGGGCCAGCCGGAGCAGTGGCCTCAGAAACCCTGGCCCAGGCAGCGGCTCCAGTGCAGCCGGGGCCGAGGGGCCCAAGGCCCCCTGCACTGTCCTCATTGCTGCTGTGCTACCCACAGAACATCGAGCTGAAGGTGCAGGTGGAGAGCCTGAAGCAGGAGCTGCAGGAGAAGCAGCAGGCGCTGGATAAAACATGGTGAGCGGCACTCGCCGCCCAGGCTGGGGGGACATGTGTGCCCTGTGGTGCCTGGGCTCCGGGGACGGCGGGTGTCCCAGCCCAGGGTGTTTGCCAAAGCGCTGTGTGTCCTGTGGGGCTCCTCTTTCCTCCCCGCAGCAGCGTGACCCAGCCCGGCTGTCGGGAGCCAAAAATAGAGAGCAGCACCTGTTTGGCGAGGGAGGGCGAGCGCCAGGACCTCGCTTTGGCACAGCGCGACTCCCCGGGCACGGGATGTAGAGAGTTTGGGGCATTTCCCTCATTTCAGGGATGTGCAGGGACAACCCTGGTATTTCAAACGAGCCCACATACCACATAAGCCCCATGAGCTAGCGATGGCGGGTGAGGTGGTTTTCCCTGGACTGGAGCTTTTTGGTTTAAATATACTGTGCCTGGGTGCCACAGGGGGTGCCCGCTGGCCAGGCAGCCTCGGGCTCTCCCATCCCAGCGTGTCTGGGGTGTTTGCAAGGCTGGCATGGCCCAAAGGGCAGAGCAGAGCCCTGGATGGCGGTGGGGATTGCCCCAGACAGCCGGGTGCGCGGTCAGGGCTTTGCACGGGCCGTCCTGCTCGCCCACCACGCAGGGTGGCCGCGGAGACGCAGACGAACCGCAGCGAGGCAGCGCTGCGGCAGCAGTACGAGGAGAGGCAGCGGGAGTCGGAGCACGTCTACGAGCTCCTGGAGAAGGGCAGAGCAGAGCCCTGGATGGCGGTGGGGATTGCCCCAGACAGCCGGGTGCGCGGTCAGGGCTTTGCACGGGCCGTCCTGCTCGCCCACCACGCAGGGTGGCCGCGGAGACGCAGACGAACCGCAGCGAGGCAGCGCTGCGGCAGCAGTACGAGGAGAGGCAGCGGGAGTCGGAGCACGTCTACGAGCTCCTGGAGAACAAGATCCAGCTGCTGCAGGAGGTGGGTGCCGGCCGCGCACCGTGGGC